TTTTTCTACAATAGATCTAAGATCAGGGTTTTGGCACATTCCTATTCACCCTGATGACACCGAAAAATTGGCTTTTATTACAAATTTTGGACTGTATGAATGGCTAAGACTCCCTTTTGGCTTCAAAAATGCACCGGCTATCTTTAACAGAGTTATTAAACGCATCCTCACTAAAAATAAAATCCAATTTGCTTGTAGTTATTTTGATGACATAATTGTTTACTCTTCTTTCATACAAAGTCAACACATCAAAGCTGATTTGAGTGTGCAATACAATAAACTGATTGAAACTATTTATTTGAAAGAATTCAACAGTATCGCAAAGTTCTTGAAGAAGAAGTCCCGAAAATAAATGTGGCTGGCTATGCAAGACGACGCACAGCTAAGAAGTAACGAATTTGCAAATTTCGAGAAAATAAGGTAGCTAATAAATGAAATTAGTAAAGGGTTAAAAATTATGACATAATTGTTTACTCTTCTTCCAAAGAACAACATCTAAAGTTGAGTGAATTATTTGAAATATTTATTCAAGAAGGTATAATTAATTGAACCAGAGTAAATGTGTCTTTGCCAAAGATAAAATCAATTTTCTAGGTTATGAAATTAGAAAGGGTAAAGTTACCCCAAAATAAGAAAACCAAAATATTGAAAGTATTAAAAATTTGAAATATCCAAGTAATGTAAAAGAGCTACAAGAGTGTTAGGCAGTGTAATAGATTCATACCTAATTATGCTAAATTAAGATCTCTAAATAAATTATTGAAAAAAGATGTACCATGGCATTGGGATGATCAATGTCAAACTGCTTTTGACGAACTGAAAAATATTCTTATTTCAAAACCAGTCTTACAATTGTATGATCCAAATAAACCTTGTCATGTTTTTGTTGATGCATCACAGATTGCTGTGGGAGCTGTTTTGAAGCAGCCAGATGAAAGTAATGTATTACACCCAGTTTCCTACCATTCTAGAGCTTTAAAAGATTACGAAAAAAATTATGCAATTACAGAACTTGAATGTTTAGCTATTGTTGATGCATTAGATAAATTTTATTACTATCTTCACGGTCAAAAATTTACAATCCATACCGATCATGCAGCCCTTGTTTGGCTTAAAAATGTTAAGAATTTAAGAGGCAGATTATTCCGTTGGTCACTCCGACTCAGTATGTTTGATTACGAAGTTAAATATCAAAAAGGCTCTACAAACGTTGAAGCTGATATGCTTTCTAGACAACCTGTTTCTCACCAGCTCCAACATTCTGTGTATTTACTTAATCGTGATGAAATTATACAACAGCAAAAAAGTGACAATGTGTGTGATAAAAAATATGTAGAACTAAATGATTTGATGGTAATTAAGAAGAAAAAAGGTTATAAAATTGTCGTACCAAAATCGTTAAGATTAAAACTATTAACTGAAACTCATGAAAAATTTGGACACCCAGGTATTCATGCTATGTTAAATTTAATCACTCCACAATATTATTGGCCCTACATTAGTAAAGATGTTGGAAATTTCGTGGAACATTGCCATGTTTGTCAAATTAATAAAAAGAAAAAAACCAAAAAATTTGGACTTATGCAAGAAGTACCCCCAACTGATAAACCTTTTGAATGTCTTTCTATTGATACAGTCGGCGGTTTTAATTATTATAATTCTACAAAAAAAAAAAAAATTTACATCTTGTGATCGATAACGCCACAAGATATGTCTGGGCTTCATCTAAAAGTGCAACTACAGAAACTTATGCTAATATTTTGAAACAAATTTTCCAAATTCAAGTCCCCGAAAAAATCCTTAGTGACCGCAATGCCGCATTCACCTGCAATAGATTCAAAAATTTCTTAGAAATTATAATGTAAAACAACTTCTAACTACTGCCCATCACCCCCAGACAAATGGTAAAGTAGAGCGTGTGAACCAAACCCTAGTAACCCGTTTAAGATGTAAAGTAAATTCTACATCATCGAAAATTCCATGGACGAAAATTTTGGATCAAGTTATTAGTGAATATAATAATTCCCCTCATTCGGTAACTAAATTCACCCCTGCATATCTTTTACTCGGAAAACTTCCTTTCGATTCTCCCCTAGATCAAAATACTTACCCTCCGGTTGACATAGCGAGAAAATTAGCTAAAGAGAGAACTATTGAATATCATAAAAGGAATAAAAGTCGTTATGACACAAAATTTGCAGATGTAGATTTTCAACCTGGTGATCTAGTTTTATTTGATGAATTTGAATTTCCGAATACACGTAAATTGACAGCTCCCTATTCTGGACCATACCAAATTGTCAAAAAATTATCTGAGGTTAATTATGAAATTGATAAAAAGAATTACCACACAAAGAAACCTACTGATATTGTCCACGTTTCCAGACTATGACACTACCAAGACCCAGAAAATTTTAAACTACATGACCAATAGGTAGACACACCTTCCTTTTGGTAAACGCTCAACTGGGGTTGCTACTAAAGGTAATTAGAGCACCTCTAATTATTTAATGTCTAATTTTCTGTGTCGTAAGTTTTTGGTGTGTCGTTTTGTATCTTTGCATTTATGTGTCAATTTTTTGGCAACGACATTAATGGTAATTATAAAAGACTATTGAAGTTGAAAGTTGTGTTGAACGACAATGCAGTATATGACATAATTGTCATTGTCGACAGTAAAAGGTAAAATACGAGTAAAATTATTGCGTAAAATGATTATTATCAAAATAAGTGTTTTATATGAATGAGTAGTCAAAATAAAATACTGTAAACAAACTAAAAGTCAAAAGGAAATGTTAAGAAATTAGTCAAGTATTGCAATTGTCAATGATATGAAGAAAAAAATAGAGGAATACCTCACCTCAAATAGAAATTTTTAATATTAAAGCCACGGCGAACTGGAAATGAAAGATTTGTAAAATAAGAACTGCTCTAATGTTTTGCAGCAATCTCTAAAGACCTGGATCCAGAACTGAAACTGTTCTCGAGAAATGTTTTCCCAATACTGCATGCATAATGTTATTTTTCTTTATTTTCTATAAATGTCAATATATTAAGGTATATTATTTACAATTTATATATTGATATTATTATTGACTGTGTTATAGTGAGAGTGTCTATTTAAGATTAATATTATTGTAACTCGAATTCTGGATGCGAGTTCTTCAAACAAATTAAGCAATTATTTAAAATATTTTTTCTATCTGGAATGTCTTGTGGTCGAGGCGCCCGGCTTCAAGCCTTTTCAGATGGGGGGAATATTTGTAATAATAAAATTCCATAGTCAAGAATACACTTAAAATTCTAACTGTATGTTCTTTTCATTTTTAAATGGCGACGTTCTCTTATTTGAAAGTACGTGGAATTAAATCCACAGCCCCGTAGTCAAGTTGTTTTTCCCGCCTTTTCTACACGTACAGTTATAGAATGTTCTGGAAATATTTAAAGCGAACTGGATTGGCTGACGAGGCTGACGTCATTTCTTGGAAGCTCCGCCTTTCCAGAGGCTATAAAAAGACTCGCAAAAGAATATGGGGGCTTTTTCTTAAATGTCACGATGCAGTAAACTTCATACAAAAAAGTTATTAGTAATTCTTTTTATTTACTCCGGATATCTGATTTTGTAACTGCTATTTTCTCCTGAATAATAATAAATGAATCCTGTTTTTTAACTTATCGTCTGATAATTTAAGCTACGACTAAAGCTGGTACATCACATATATATAGGGTTTTAATAGTTTTCAGCAACTGCAAATATCGTCTGTGCAAACAGTTCACATTGCCAGTTTTAATGATATTTTGTCAAATGATTTTTGGGCATTTAAAAGAAAGACAGTTGCTTTAGAACACTGTGTTGTGAAATATGTAAAAAGATATTGTTATCATTAAGTACAAGGTGTCTGAAATAGAACTATCATGCTGCCAGACAAGAACCCTCATTTACTTCTAGTTCTGTTACAAAAAGTCAGCTACAGAATGTCACCAAATCACATGTATAGCTTTAATAATGTTGTATATGACAATGTGAAGGTTGGTACCATAAGTTCAAAATCAAAGACTACGAGATTCAAAAAGCGGAGTGCTCTGGCCAGCCTACTGACGTTGATGAGGGCCACCTGAGAGAATTTGCGGAAGAAGATCAGTATGCAACCACTCCAGAGCTTGCTAAGGAGTTAGACGTTAGTACCATGTCCATTGGTTGCACTATGCATCCCATAAACTTGATGCAAAAGTTCAATCGCTGGGTGCTACACGAGCTGAATCAAGCAGATAAAAACATACCTATTTGGGCCTGCACTAATCTGCTTGAATGTCAACACATGGACAAACTTCTGAATCAGATTGTCACTTGTGATGAAAAGTGGATTTACTTCAACAACACACTCTGAACTGGTCTGAGCCCGGTGAGCCTGACAGCAATTTGGATAACAAAAAGTTCATGCTTTCTATCTGGTAGACTGCAGTGGTATGATTTACAAAGAGTATCTGGAAAAGGGTAAAACCCTCGACAGCAAGATGCTAGCCCGTGTTAATGTTGCTGCTGTCAAGGAAAAATGTTGAACTGAGTTCTGGCACAAAAAGATAATGCAAGACCACATGTGTCTGCATACACCGGCTGGACTCTGTACAGATTTGAATGGGATTTTTTGCCACAACCACCATATAGCCCCGACATCGCTATTTTTACAGAACTCGAGTGACATCTAGCTGCTGCTATCTTCCATTCTGCACAGGACATCCAAAATGAGTGATATGTTTTTGGACTCATGGCCACCAAGTTTCAGGGGCAAAGGCTTTGAAAAACTACTTAAACATTGGCAGAAGATCATAGATTTAGGTGGTGAATACTACCAGCACTAAAGGTACTTCTATCATGCTTTTTCTCTAACTTTATTAAGAACGTTTTTTGCCAATAAACTTTCATTACAACCAGATACGAGTTACAAATGTAGTATCATTGATTGATACTGGTGGAGGTTAAAAAAATTTTGTTTTCTTACCTAGCCTAAGCCTTTCGGCATAGGATGTCGCCTTCTTTGCAGATCCTGGATTCCTGGCTACTATGACAGCATTTCTGTAGTCAGGTATCTGAAAGTGAAAACATTTTCATCTTTCAATTAAAATCAAATACTGTTGTAAATTTACATAAATACACTAGGTGCCATTTAATGTGATTGTGGTTAAGGTTATTATTCAGATATTGTTATTGAACTGCCAATTGTTAAGTCCAGTACATTTATATATAAGCACATGGAAAAAATATCACTAATTGGGATCAACAGCTCAGTTAATGAGACCAAAATATTATAGACTAAATTTTTCAAAGTAAAACAGCATGACCAAATAAGGCCAAAATAATTTAGTTTAAATATCAGACTAAATAACAATCAAAAACAAAGTCCAACATTAGAAATCAGCGTAAATTTTTAAATTTAAGCTGATTCTTAATGTTGGACTTTGTTTTTGAAGGTCAAAATACATTCTAAAATTGGCAAATGACAGATAAATGTTGCCAACTAAGGGATTAAGATGCCAAACAGCTTAATTTTGATTTCAATCAATCATTTAAAATAAAGCAAAAAAAAAAAAAAAGACCTTAGATATATTTTGCTGTTGAATTTTATGCTGCTTAAGTGCAAAAGAGTGATGTTTAATAAATAAAATAAAAAAGACAAGTTATGCAGGCCATCTTGTTAAGAAAACTGAACATTGATATGATCTTGGAAAAACTGGGGGGGGGAAGGAAGTGCGGTAACATTTGACACTATTTGGGAATTCTAAAGATAGGTTGCTTTAAAAAAAATTGAGATTTTGCAGTTGAATTTCAAGTGGCTTAAGAGTGAAGAAAGTGATATTTAAAAATAAGGCTAAAAACATACGAAAAAGTTGTGTTAACAGGAATTAATTGGAGAGCAGAAAGATTAACCATAAGTTCAAAGTCAGCATAAAAAACTTTAACAAAGCCTCTGGTGCAATGTTAAAATATGAACCCTTTCAGATTTCCTTTTCTTCATGTATTTTTGTACTCTTATGCATTGTTTTTATTTACTTATGATTCTTCTCCATTAAAGCTATTTTTTTAATTATATTTCCTTGGTGCCAGTTTAGCCTGCCTTCTTTCCCAGTGATAACCATCTTTATAACCAACACTCATGCAGTAACGTTTTTCAACAAATAATTTTTTTCATTGCTCATGATTATGGATTTGGAACAATTCACATTAAATATTTTTCATCATTTTGTTGATTTGAATACCAGGTGTCATAAATGATCAGGAGGTGATTATGATTTCATTTCAAAAGTCTTATAAACTACCAGAGTAAAAATCTGCCACTATTTTATATAACTCAGAAAATTAATGTGAAACACATACATGCATACACACATATTTTCAAACAATTTCATTACAGAAATAAAAAGTTTTAGCAGGAGGAGACTGGTTCACTAAATGTAAAGAACTGCGGGAAGCTGCCCAGGTATTTAATAAATTACCACTGTACTATGATTTTGAACTAATAAGTGGACTGTATAGCAAAAGAACTAACTAATTTATTACAGTAATAACTATTCAGATCTAATACATGCTCTGGCATGTGCTTAGCCGAACCAGATGGCCAAGTGAGAGTTTCTCCCTATCTAATAGGTGGTGCTGTATTCTAACTTAACATGCCGCCCCCCCGTGAAATTACTAATTTCAACATTAAATTACAAACAAAACATATAATTTAACAATTCAAGAAAAACTAATTCTACACTACAATATGAAAGATGATAGATAATTTCATCATGAATATAATTATAAAATAATGCAACATTTAAAAACATAAACATCACTATGTACAATCGAACTTATTCTTAAACAGTACATTTAATATAAAGCACAATTTCAATAAGAACATAATAATGAAGCTAAGCAATTATCCTGGATAGGAAATAAACAAATTTTACTAATACATCGAATATACACACTATTGATGTTTCACTTTAACAACTCTGGCCTTATTATTTACCAGGTAAAAACTTCTAGAATTCTAGCTAAAGACCATTTAAATGGGGGAAGATTATCTTCCTTTAACACAAACTAACATACCGCCTCTAAATTTTCTTTATAATAAACCATTTGGTGCGTTGTTGCAGATGATTTAAATAATCAGTTAGCCAACGTTTCCAAATAACTGAATAAACTTGGTAATAATTGCCATTTAGAAAGTCTATTATCTGTAAGAGAGACAAATTGGTTCAGGATATGAAGTAATGGAACATCCAATTAAAAAATGACCTGGCGTTAAGGCTTCAAAGTCATTTGCATCTGTTGTAAGGGTAAAATTGGACGAGAATTGAGAATCCTTCAATCTGTGGGACAAAGTCCAAAATTCTTCTAAAGTTAATTTATAACTGCCGATTGTACGTGAAGATGATATTAAATGACTAATACCTGCTCCCAAAAACATCCGAAATTTGGTGCTAGGTGGAATTAGTTTTCAATTTACCTTCAGATGTTAAGAAATCTGCTATATCAGAATTAGACTAAGACTAAGCTATGCAATTTTTCAGTTCTGATTTTGCACCAAACATATTAGTACCGTTATCTGATATTATGGTATTACATTTTCCACGTCTAGCAATAAATATTTAATAGTAGCAAAGTAAGAATCTGTGGTTAAATCAGTTACTAACTAAATGTACTGCTTTAGTAGCTGAACATATGATATAGCAACGTACACTTTTGCATAATTACCCTTCTCTGATTTTTATACTTGATGAGGAATGGACCAGAAAAAATCGAGTCGACAAGTATTAAATACAAACCCTGGGTTAAACTCTTTCACCAGGTAAATTTCCCATAAGTTGTTCACATACAATTGTTTTAACCTAAAAATGTTTACACATTCATGTACAACTTTTCGAGCTAGCCATTAATAACCCAAATTTACTACGAAACCTGATGCAATAGCCCAAGATGTAAATTTAAATAATACTGAAAAATTAATCTAGTAAATACATGATCTTTTGGCATACATAAGGAAATTTTGGTTGTAATTAGATTACTTGGCAGTCTGCCTCCTACTCTCAGAAGAGGATCATTATCAAGAAATGGAAAAAAGTTTAACTTACTTTGGGAGAAACACAATTCTTATTTTTTAAGGATAGAATATCCTTGCTAAAATGTTGAACTGTATACCTGATCATGATTTTTCAGCTCATCCAATTCTTTAAATGTTAGAGAACCTATTAAATTTTTTCCCTTACAATGGCTTAAATTACAAACAAAACTTAATACACGAATAATACGAATATAGTTATTCAATGTTAAGAATATGATCTAAAACAAGGGAATTAGATTCACATTTAGATTAAACTAAGTCATTAAGTCCTAAGTTTGAGTTCTTTGACGTTTCCACATTATAATATCAGATGAAATAATTCACAAGGATTAGTCAAAAACCTCTCCTTAGTCAAGAAAGTTGGTCCATCCACCATAAATCATTATGAAGATCTTAGGTTCAGCCCATGTGATATCAAATCAGTGGATTATTGTGAGTCTAAATGGTACCACTCATGACCGCGTAGCTTCGAATAACAGATACTCTATTAGCAAAAAATATCTTAGTTGAAGGTTCCTTCTTAATCCATGATAACACTATTGACGAATCAGTGAAGTAATACTCCTTCACTATAGGAGCTGAATGGCCTCTAGTATTCTTTCATTAGTTTACCAACAGAACTGCACCACCAAAGCCCAAACGAGGAATGGTAATTGACTTCAGAGGTGACACACAAGACTTGCGCAAGAAGTCTTGATGAAACATTCATTTGAAGATGACATACATTTCACATAAATTGCAGCACCAGGCTTCTGACTAGCATCACAGATCCTATAATTTCTATTTTGTAATCCATTGGTTGAAAAAATCTGGGGATGCGATAATCATTTGATATTTTTAGAATATGCAGAAATTCTTCCATTCTTCAAAGTTATTTTTAGGAAGAGGTGTATTCATTTAATTTTAGAAGCCAAAGTTTTGTAGAAATATTTTAGCTTTGTGTAAAGGTCAATTAAAAAACGGATCAAAGAGG